CTCTCTCTCTCTCTCTCTCTCTCTCTCTCTCTCTCTCTCTCTCTCTCTCTCTCTCTCTCTCTCTCTCTCTCTCTCTCTCTCTGTGTGTGTGTTAATTCTGATGAGTTCTACTGGGTAGTGGGGGAGATGGAAGGACATGGTCCCTCATTATCCCTCATTGCGAGGAGGATCTGCTTGAGCGGATAGATTGTAATTGTGCGTCATTGCAATGACAATTCACCAGCGTGTCCTGAGCCTTTGTGAGGAAGTCATCCATAGGACTCTGTCTTAACTTATTTTAGCTCCTCACATCTGCCTTGGGTAGGCTCACAGACAGACCAAGCTGTGCCCAAACTTTCCACTCTTTTTTTTTTTGTTTGTTGGGAAAACATTTCCACTCAATTATTCACGAGCGTGAGGGCAAACCACAGTCTTCTCCCGACCACAGCGTGCCCTCATCGTCATGGCATGGCAGGAAAATTACTCACTGTATAGGACCTGAAAGATAGCTTGTATACATTTGTAACGAGGGTCGTTATCAAATAGCATGGCTCTACTGACTGTATCGGACTTGAAAGATAGCTTGTATACACTCATAATGAGGGTCATTATCAAATAGCATAGCTCCTCTCGGTTAGTAAGTGTACTACGTCGCTGTGTGTGAGCAACATGGCGTGTGAATGTCACCGTACTCAAGCTTGCTTACCTCATCTTGTGGTTAAAAAAAAAAAAAAAAAAAAAAAAAAGAAACAACTGCTTTTTGGTATTTTTCTCATGCCTCCATCAAACATTTGACTGCGCAGGTCATGGGTGCTCTTGTGGCTATCGTGAGTATCACGCCGCTCTTTCTTGTAGTACTTTTCCCTATCGGCGGATTGTATGCCTTTATTCAACAGGTGAGGAGGTTTCTCCAGTCATCCTTTTTTTTTTTTTTTTTGCTAGTCTATGTTTGCTCACCACAGAAAGGCTCTCCAGAGTCCAGTCTAGTGACTTCGGTCAATATTTGGCATTATTTGCTTAAAGCCTTAAAGGCTTAAACCCTTAAAACTTGAAAGTTTTTTTTTTTTTTTTTTTTTTTTTTTAAATGATTCGAAGCCGTCTTTGCACACCACCCAAAACTACCATCGTGGTTAGAAGGCCACTAAGGCCACCACACTGACCGCATCCGTTTTCTTTTTCGGTTTCGTCCTAAATTTCAATTTGCAATTGCCGATTTGTCCTTTCTTTCTTGTTATACTGCTTCTTCTTCACTGTTTCTCAGCTCAATCATTGTACTTGTGTTGTGATATTGTCAGGCCGCTCTGTATAATTGCCTTTGCGCCTTTTGATTTTTTTATCGTTTTTCCTGAGTGGTGATCCGGGCCGCCCGGGTGAACGGCAGAGGCCCAGGGGAGGTCCCGGGCGGCCTGGCTGGGCAGGGCACCCGGTTGGGGCACTCGCCTGTCGGGGGATCTCGGACCCCCTTTGTGTGTGTGTGTGTGTGTGTGTGTGTGTGTGTGTGTGTGTGTGTGTGTGTGTGTGTG